CCCCCCCCAAAAAAAAACATTACCTTTCGATATTCTGTCCATTTCGATGTCTCGTCCGTATCCTGCCCTTGCTCCTCCCCCCTCGGAAGACCATTCGAGTTGAAAAAAAAAAGAAAAATACACTAGTAATTAGAACCCACCATTCCTCGAAACAACATTGCCTCGCCTTGTACGACTTCCATCTCGGACTGCAGAGCCAACGAATCCAGTGCCTCGGAATTCCGAAATTATCGTCTCACCACGCTCAGTCCGGTTGCCCAGTCAGGAGCACGGACGCCGAGACGGGGGTAGACGATGAAGGGAAAGAGGGTGACGTATGGAGAATGGTTGTGTGGGATGGAGAGCCATGCATTCTACATAGATGGCCAGTAGTCATCGGCGCAGAAACCAGCAAATGTAAGGAATCTGGGGTAGACGACAAACTATTTACCTAGTCCGTGATGTACATGTACAACATGTACATATACCCTAGTATACCCATCCGGTGTAGTTTTTTTTTTGCTTTTTTTTTAACCGTTTCCCTTTGCCTTTCCCGCTGGTCTTTTTCCTTTTGATACATTCCGGCGTGGCCACATGCACAGCCTACATATGTGGTATGCAACAGGGATGGGACGGGAGCCAGGGTTCGGGAGGACGGCAACAACATCGAACAGCATCCTAGCTGCGTATGGGTTGTGTTCTGCAAATGGAGTAAGGCAACAATGGGAGGCAATATGCAACATCTTGACCCGCAGCCTGCTGGGACGAACGGGGGGGTTGTCATTGTGGCTGCTCCCGTACCCGACTTGTTGGTTGGGAGTCATCCGGTCCACGAGACTGCGGTCCAGAAGGAAAGGGATGACTCGAAGGAAAGGAACTGGGTGGTTTGCCGAGGTGAGTTTGTCGGGGAAAAATCAGGGTTGGTCCGGATGGGAACGGGGGTTGTTGTTCATGCGGCTGAAACGGCAAGACTTTGTTTTGTTGGGCTTGTTGATTCAGGCCTGTGACTGGCCAGACATGCTGAGATGAGGCAGGGACTAGGGTCTTCAGATGTAAAGTTGTTGAGGTGTTGAACTGAGGAGGCGTTTTGGGTATAGTTTGTGAGGGGAGGTGGCTGATACCTCTACTTCCCCGGTGATCTATAGATCAGTCCTGTGCACAAGTTATGGGGGTTACCGCCTTGGTAGACATCTAGAAAGACAGGTCGAGATCCTACAAGACATATATGACAAGGCCGCATAGGCCGAGTATTCGTGTGCAATAAACGTTGGGGTTTCATGCATATACATGGTTTGGAGGGTAGATTATGCACTGCTATTGACACTGGGTGCCTGAGCTGACAAGGGACAAATGACCGCTGAAAGAAAGAAAGCCGAAAGAACGAGGTCATGAGGAAGAGAATTTCCACGTGTCCGTGCCACATCGGGAGAAAAATAAACTACTAAACGCGTCGCTGATGATTGAGTCATGTCATGTCGAGACCAAGAAAGAGAAAGCCAAGCACCAAGAAGAAACACCGCCCACTGAACATATGTCGCCACTCAACCAGTGAGAAGGGCAATCAGATTTGATCTGAACCATAGTTAGTACAAAGACCCCCAAGAAGATAAAAATAATCAAAACATACTCAGCGTCATACTGAGGCTCACGTCTGTATTCTCCACCATATCCGTGAACTCCTCGAAACTAATTTTTCCATCCTGATCCTTATCAGCCTCCATGATCGTCTTGTCGACGATCTGCTGCAGCTGCACGTCCTTGAGGTTATTGCCGACCATCATCTTCAGCACGATGAACAGCTCGCCATTGGAAATGTAGCCGTCGCGGTCAATGTCGTACACCTTAAATGCGAACCGCAGTTTCTCTTGCTTGTTGCCCTTTGAGCTGAATGCTGACAAACCAGTCACGAATTCCTGGAAGTCGACGTCACCGCCACCGTCTTCGTCGAAGATGGCGATCATCCTATCATAGAAAGAGATATGTCAGGGACTAGCCTGTGAAAGTGTGTAGATTGTAGAATCGTAGGTGGGGGGGGGGGGTGAATGTGCATGTCCGAGGGGCCAACTAACCTTGTGGCGAGCGGGTTGGACGACACTTGAGGCAAGGAGAGGAACTCATCACGGTCGATAGTGCCGGAGGCATTCTGTAGACGATTCAGTATGCTAGACCATCTCATAACAGTCCTTGCTGTGCAACCGACCTTATCCAGCTTCATGAAGCGCTTGCGCAGGCGATCCACTTCGTCCCGGTTGACTGTTGTCGTGAAGTCAGCCATAGGTCCGGTCCATCGCCTTCACATCTTATCCGACCGTGGAAAACGTACAGTTGGATGTAGAAACAATGTTGTCGAAGAGCTGGGTGGTACCCACGGAGCCACGGCGTCTCCGCGCATCGTAAATAGCAGCAGCGTTGGGCTCGTTGGGGGAGGAGGGCTGGTCCATAGTGGGTAGTTGGAGAGGGGAACAAGAAGTAGCGACGAGATGCAGTGATAATTAGTGCGATGGGAGTAGCAAATAAAAGTCGTGGGTCTAGTGGAACACCAAATACAAAGAGCTAGATCAAATCAAGACTGCAAAGGAGGCAGAAGGGATGTTGTTGCCAAGGCCCTGGGGAATCTGATATCGCCCAGCCCCGCACTAACCGGATACAGACAGGCAAGCGAGCCCCTGAGGCCGTGCACTCGGCCAAAACAGGCCACCGGCGGCTGACATTACAACGTCAACCCAACCGTTGGCCGTGAATCACCTCATCTTGAGTCGTCAATATCCCCCTCCCTCCATCGAATTTCATCTCAAAATTACGTCTACGAGAAAGCGCATGAACAGACCTTTCTGTTAATTCCCATTTTACCCCTTCCCCACCCATGGTCGTTGCCCTATTGCGCTCCCGACGCTATGACTCGGTACGGGGGCCTGGGGAGGACGCGCCCTAAAAAGCTCACCTCCAAGGCATCCATCCCCGTTGTTCGGGAGTCAGAGATCGATGTCATCGACGACGAAATCCAGAGCTCTTTACAGCAGATCGAAACCGGCGTCGAAAAAGCCGAGGAGTCGGTAAGTCCCTAATTTTAGCATTGATCCCTATCACAGTCACGTGACATCATCGCCAAAATGACACGAGATTTTCACCCCAATATCAAATGACTCGTGCTGACCTCGGATCGTGTTAGGAAATTCACTTGCAACGCGCAATCAATGCCACTGCCCAGGGCAAAGTAAATGAGGCACACATCCCTACTCCCGAGACCATTCTCAGTAATCTTCAATATGACGAACTCTACCCTCCCATTTTCTCGCAACCTGCGACGTACATTCGCTTCTCCTCCACGGTCGAGGATTGCTGCGGATGCCCGTACAACATGACAGATGAGGACGATGTCTTTCTGAAGATCATGAACCAGAAGCGCGACCCGTCTGCTGGTCGTTGCACGGATGATATCTTTGAGGAGGTCATGAATTTCTTTGAGGAGACGGCGCAGATGAAGCAGCCATACGCATCCATCGATAATCCCCCGGCGTTATCCTTTGCAGAGATGCAAGACATGATGGATGCCACATTAGAAGATCCCATGAAGATGTTTGCCAAGGAGATATATGAGCACTGGAAGTCGCGTCGGATGGCTGTTCAAAACAACGGCCTTGTATCGCAGCTCAAGGTAAGTTACTACCATGCCTTTGGCCATTCGAAATCATTAACTTGTATCCCGATAGTTCGAAACTGGCCAAGACACCGATGACAGTGATCCATTTGTCTGTTTCCGTAGACGCGAGGTTCGCCAGATCCGCAAGACTCGTGGTAGAGATGCGCAGAGTGCCGAAAAGCTTAGACGTCTTCGCAAAGAGCTGGAAGATGCTCGCGAGCTCGTTGCTTTGGTGCGCCAGCGTGAAATTGCTCGGAGAGAAATGCTCTCCATGGAGCGGCAGCTCTTCAAACAGCGTGCTGAAGTCAAGGAGATGAAGCGCAAGCTCAACATTAAGGACGATGATGAAGATTTGATCAACCAAAAGGTAAGCACGGGCATTGTGATCGCTCTATTTTGGCACAAGTTGACCATTCTCCCACAGCCGAAAAAGAGAGTGCTCGATATGCCACCTCAACGTCCCAACGCCCCTCAACTGCGCATGCCTCTCAAGGCTGGACAAGGTGCGGAAGACTTGCAACTCCTGGAGGATGTTCAGGCAGAGAAGGAGAACGAGATTTTGCGCGATATCAAACAGAACATCACCAAGCACATCAAGTGGAACGAGGGATATGTGGATCATACACGTGCACCACTCTCTCCTTCCCCAGAAAGGACATTCGATGTGTCTACCTTCCGACCCGCATTCACAACACAGTTGCCCACACCTCCATCATCAGAATCATCTGGCGAGATGGATACTTCCTTAGACGTTACCAGCCCGCTCTTCTCCAGGGACAAGCTTGCATCGCACACCATCGAACTGCACGACGAACCACACCGAATGCCATCTTTCCGACGTCGATTTGGACGTGGTGGTCGGTTGATGATCGATCGTCGGAACATGGGAGCTCGTAAAGTCGACATCGACCCAATCAAGGCCGATCGATTCAAGTTTGACCAAGAAGATTCAGAAGAGGAGAACGATTATGATACTGATGCGTACAGCATTCAAATCATGCAGCACCGGGCTATCACCATGGCCAAGGCGCGCGAACAGGCTGCAGTGGCTGCCCAGGCTCATGCGCAGGCGCAAGCACAGGCAGCCCAAGCACAGGCTCAGCGACGACTGCTGGATCCGAACGGTCAGCACCAAGGCCTTCAGGGATCGAATCTCGGGCCAAGTGCCGTGGCGGTGTCAGAGACCTGAACAACTCTTTTCCTCTTTTCCCTCTTTCACAGCATTTGGCGGGCGTTTTCTTCGCGGCTTTGTTTTCCTCATCCTTTTGTCTCCGTCTTTTCCTCCTTTCACCACATTTGTAGTTTTATAACTCCCTCATGTTTCGATGATTTCCGCGGGCGGCGAAAGATGCCTGACTTTTCCTTTTTTTCCCCTCACGTTTCCACCCACTTTTTCTCACACATCTCTTCCTCGACATTTTGTTTCGAGGCAGGTGCTAGCCACTCGCTGTTGAGCACGTCTGCATTTGTTAGTGTACATAGTATCTTTTTTTTTCTCCCGAATCTCGATGGTGTTGGCTGGTGTCGGGCAGCCTTTGTATGATGGATAACCGAAGTTATGATGCAAGCGACGAATGGGAGGGCAAAGAAAACGGCTCAAAAACATTCAGAAAATCTAAAACAATTTAATCATTCGCAAAAAGCACTTTTGGTTCTGTTCGGTTCAGTAGAACAGACTGACACCGGCCCTAGTAAATGGAAGTAAGAGCAAATTGCTTTCAAATCCTCTGCGTCTTGAACTGTCGTGAATCACCGCCATCGCCGTTGGCAGAACGTTTCAATGGGCCAGAAGTAGCGGGCTGCAGCATGCCCAAGACAGTCTGCAAGACCTCCTTCTCGCCAATGCGAACCTGCAAGGCCATCCGTACTCGACGAGCCCCCTCATTCATGTCACCAGTTTCAGGCAACGGAGAAAGTGAAGCGCTTAATTGGAGGTCCGAGGCCAGAGACGTAGCGTATTGCGCCTGTCGCATTTCCAGCGCCCTGATCAAGACGGTGGTCGCATTGGCGTCCAAGACTGGTTTGGGGGCTTTGTCCTTGGACACGCGCTGTTTGAACTCTTCGGGAGAGAGAGCGAGCGTAGCCAGAAGAACAACCAACTCGGCTGGCAGGATGTCTTGCAAAGACGGGTTGGCGTTGACGGGTCTGGGGATTACATAGCCGTCCTCGAGAATGTCGAGGCTTGAGAGGAACCCAAGTCGGGGCTGGGACTCGGGATCTGCGTTCGCAAGCCCTGCGGCTTCGCAGATGGTTTCCAATGATAGCTCAAGTACGTCGTAAACGGCGTAGTTATCAGTCACATAGCCATATCGGCGGAGGAGATCTGCGCGGGGGATCTCTCCATAATCGTTGAAGATTTCATCGCCTTTTTGAATTGGCTTGATTGCCTTCATGACTAGGGCACCTTCTTCCTGGTAGAGACGAGCCTAATGAAAGCAGGTTAGGATTAGGGTTGAAGAGAAAATCATGTCCAAACTCACGTTGTTTCGGTCCGCATCAGCATTGAGCAGATCTGCGAGTGGGACCATACCTTTAGGAAGCTGCTCCTCTTCTTCGTCATCAGTCATGTAACTCTCATCATTGACCTCTCCTTCATCGTCGTCGTCCTCGGCCTTTTCGATGTCAAAGGCATAAGCCATAATGAGGGACCCCATGACATGGCCCACTTGAATGAGAGCAGCGTCACCAGCAATGCCCTCCCAAGATGCGAGACCAGGAGGAGGCGGGAAGAGATCCGGCCTCTTTGCCAAAATAGGGGCGATAGAATCCCTAATCGACTCCTCGGCGTTTGATCGACCAATCTTCTCAACAATAGTGCTAGCCTGCAGCTCCTGCAGCTCGGCAGGCGACCAAAACATCAGGGTGTCAAAACGAGAAGGCAAAACTCTGAAATACGGAGCCCATCTCGATTTTTCTCCTTGCAGGTATTCGTACACCATGACCAGCATTAGGGAAAGCCAAGGTCCCATCTGCTCCTCTAGATTCTCTGCTAGCAGGGTCCTCAGCTCCGAGTTCTGCACGGTGAGGACCATGGTGCGCGGGATCGAGAACAGTTCTTCCCCTTCCACGATGTTGCTTTGTGCCACTAGAGCCCAGGCAATTTATTAGAGACTGGTCATAACAATTACGAAACCTTCATTTTTGGGGACACTCCGCAGACTAGTTTGTGTGGTCGAGGAATGGATTTTTTGGACACTTACCGACACCACGTCCAGCTCCAGTTGCTCGCAGATCTGCGAGTCTGAGCTTGGGGTTGAGCTGCACACCTGGGCTGGCTTGCAACCATGACATGAAGCTGTCAGACTGTTGTTGAAAGCCCTCGGCATCGGGGAAGTGGGCTGTCGAAGACATGACGGAAGAGATCTCTTGGGAGGGAAAAGAGGAGCAAGGGAAGAACGGAAAACGAGGCCACAAATAAAGTCGATACAGTAGGGAAGAAGAAATTAATTGAGAAGAGGGGAAAGAAGAATCGAGTCGTGAGTATGCAAACTCAAGTCGAGAAGGGTAGCTCGGGTTTAGTTCGGGCCAACCGACGGGTGCCGCTTTTAGTGCTGATAACGATAACGAAAATCATAGCAGGTCTCCCGGATCTGTTGCATTGCGTATGGTTTTGTTAGCTTTCTTCTGACACACTCTCTCCTTGATACCTTCAAATACCCGCACATCATGATTGCAATTGGTATGGAAGGCTCCGCCAACAAATTGGGCATTGGCATCATGCTACATCCCAAGGATGGTAGTCCCCCGCAGGTCCTCGCCAATATTAGGCACACCTATGTCTCCCCGCCAGGTGAGGGCTTCCTGCCTAAGGATACAGCGCGTCACCACCGATCATGGGTTGTAAAATTGGTCAAACAAGCTCTCAAGGAAGCCAAGGTCTCTGTTGACGATGTGGACTGCATTTGCTTCACTAAGGGTCCCGGAATGGGTGCCCCGCTACAGAGTGTGGTGGTCGCGGCGCGGATGTTGAGTTTGCTTTGGGGAAAAGAACTAGTTGGGGTGAACCACTGCGTTGGACGTATGTTTATGTACACACCATGGCATAGACAATGCCTCCTACTTGGAGTTGGAACTAGAACAAACCGCTGACATTGTGGATCTCCAGACATCGAAATGGGCCGTCTCATCACTGGCGCAACAAACCCAGTCGTCCTATATGTCTCCGGCGGTAATACACAGGTCATTGCATACAGCTCGCAACGATATCGCATCTTCGGCGAGACCCTCGATATGGCAGTAGGAAACTGTTTAGACCGCTTCGCGCGAACACTACACATCTCTAACGACCCAGCACCAGGATATAACATTGAACAGCTAGCGAAGCAAGGAAAGCAGCTAGTTGATCTACCATATGTCGTAAAGGGCATGGACTGTTCATTCTCCGGGATCCTGGCTGCGATTGATGGCCTCGCTAAGCAGTGGGGGCTAAGCGGGGAGGTGAAGGCGCGAGAAGATGAGCAAAAAGCCTTTGATTCTACCACTACCGCAGACGAGTCATTGGAAGGCAAACCCACACGCGCAGATTTATGTTTCTCTCTCCAGGAAACTGTCTTCTCAATGCTTGTTGAAATCACCGAGCGCGCAATGGCGCATGTTGGATCAAAACAGGTTCTCATTGTTGGCGGTGTTGGCTCGAATGAGCGTTTGCAGGAGATGATGGGCATTATGGCACGGGATCGTGGTGGAAGTGTCTATGCGACGGATGAGCGGTTCTGCATCGATAACGGAATTATGATTGCACAGGCTGGTATGCTGGCATATGAGACCGGATTCCGGACTCCTTTTAGCGAGAGTACTTGTACACAACGGTTCCGCACGGATGAAGTGTTTGTGAAGTGGCGGGATTGAGTCGAAGCCTTGTTTGAACCAAAAATTATCTTTATCATGTATTATGAATTGAGCGAGTCAGATCTGCTATCCTTTTGAATTCAGTTAGATGAGTTTGGAAAAAGTTATTCAACATTCACCACTCATCTTAAGCGGGTTTCCCAGACATTTGTAGTATCCTTGCATTAATCGAAGCGCCTGTACAGCTGTGTGATTTGCCCATGATCAAGTCCCAAATCCGTTCCCAGCACCCAACACGAAAATAACGCCTGAGGAAATATGCAATATGTGGTGATCTCCTCACTAAGATGCGTTGTTCAACGCAAATTCATGCCTGTTGGTAGTTTAATGACTGGCCGATCTAGTAGTAGGACCTAGTAGCCATTATGGACGAGGATTTCAAGAACACCTGGACAGACAGGAAGCAGACGGGCGAGGGCCAATGAGTCGAACGAGGCAGGAAATTAGCTGTAGATATTTTATCTGTGCAAATCAGATAGACCACAACATGTCCGAGGCAGTATTCGGTGAAAATAAACTGTGTGCATGCAATTAGAAACCGCCTATGTGTTCGGAGATAGCTCATTCTGTGATATCGCCAGTCGGTTTGTACAAAATAGTCGTAACATACTGCAAACACGAGATTAGTTAACCCACGAAAAGTGGATAAAGCAGTGACTTACTTTTCTTTTATACCTGGTTGTCACGCTTGTAGCCAGGACACCGTTCTTGATACTGCTCGTGGCGAGGTGGTTCAGGACAGTGTGATTCGGGTAGTTCAAAACACTGCTATCGTCTTTCATGGGAGTTGTGCCGTTGAGAATTGACTTGCCTAAGAAGAGAGGCAGACTGGGAGGGGTAGCCGTATCTCCGATGACATTGGCAGCCTGGACATATGCCGGGCTGTCTTCTTCCTGATCTAGATCGGCCAAGAATTGAGGAATGGCATCACCGAAATCACCAGGTGACACCTCTTCCTCGATTTCTTCCTTTTCTAGAGGGTGGCTCTCGGTATCCCCTGGTTCATGCTTAGAGGAATCCGGCAACGTGTGTGCAGGGGGAGCTCCCGGCTGAACGGCTGAGTCCTTGTCATGCGCATCATCTGCACTGATTTCAATGTAGTTGACCAGATGATTAGTGAAATCGACAGCAGTCGGAAGGTTATCCGCAGCGCGCATTGTTCCATCAACAATGAATTTCAAGTGGTGTGTACCAGGGCGAAGGTTCAGAGTAGTGGACATAACGGACGGATTTTTTTCACTATCAAGTGTTAGTGGAGGTCGTAGAATTTCAAAATATTCAATTAACCAACCTCCTGTGCAGGCGGAACTTCTTCTCCCAGTTAACAAAAGTTCCAGTAACATAGACCTTCTGAGCAGGCGCTGTCCATTCGATAACGACAGGGATGGCTTTGCCCATGCCACTGGTAGTGTATGGCTGGAGCTCATCAAGCAACTCTTCCTCTTCGGTGGTCGTATGACCTGCAGCCAGAGTATTCCGGTCCATCTGTTCATCCAAGAGCCGATCCGCGGGGAGCGACTGGATGTGCGAGTCCTCAGGGCCAAGGACGGGCGATCCGGGCGTGGTATTGGCATCACCAATTGGCAATGGCAAGCGCGGTGGATGTTGTAGGTGTGCTGATGCGCTATAGTACGAGTTGAGGAGCGGGGCCGATGGTGCCACAGGATCGCGCCCCGGGACATGGCGCGAGACCGGAACTTGGACCGGGTTGGAGTGGTCGCGAGATGGGATGTCCTTGACCGGGGAGGGCTCCACTAGACGTGCATCTCGAGGTGGAGCCCTTTCTATGTTCTTGAGTGAAGTTTCGGGGGCATTTCGGGATTGTAGACGTTCTTGCACGGATCCTTGGTATCCCGCCGAGTGTCCAGCGGCTGTCTCTTTTGTGGCCGAAGGATCGGCGGCGGTGGCCTTAGGGGTCGAGATCGCATTTAGGGAGGATCGACGGGCGACTTTCCGGTCGCTTGTAGAGTTGTGGCGGGCATGGGCTGGGTGCGTGTCGCCCACCGGGCCTTTGGAAGGGTTGTTGCCCATCGAAGGCGGGGAAGGTAAGATGACTTTGGGCCGAGTCTTTTGCTGGGAGTTGGGGAAAGAGGAGGGCCGAAATAAGTCACAATGGCAAGATGAAGAAGTCACTTCCGATGCTAGCTCAAAGTGAGGATTGACGGTGGGCAATAATCAAAGTCGATCGAGGCACTCGCATTGTCAAAGTACAGTAGACGCCGATGACGCCGGGAGCCTAATCCGGTAGAATAGGGCTTAGGGCTTTGTAGTTCGACCGCGGCGCGTCTTGCTTGCATATCATAACAGATCTAGATGCATATATTGATTTGCTCCCTAACTTCATAATCATCATGGACTGGGTATCAATCCTAAAACTTCCTCTATCGCTTGTTCTTGGCTTGACAATCCAATTACTGTCCTACTTGTTGTCAACCCTTCTCTTCATCGCATCCCCAGTGATCTACATCGGACGTGTCGTCTTTTCCCTGGCCTTGCTCCCATTTCGTATCCTCGTGATATTAGAGGTATGTCGTGAGGCAGGTATCAGACATCTATGTTATCTGATATCTTCATCTCTTTGCTCATTGGTTGTAGCATTCACTAAGCTCAAACAGGCATTCATATATTTCATGACCGGGGCAGTCATTGTCGGGGCCACTATTGGCATGGCTCTACATTTTACTGGCAGCACCATATCGAATCTCCTGCAAATCGAAGAGTCAGATGAGCCAAGGCGACCTCGTGTGAAACGGGAGCTTCTAGATTTCGAACCACAGCGTCTACCCTTTGACTTCCTGGAAGCACAGACAGAGGATCGCAAGCTCCTAGCCTACTCGACGATCTTAGAGGAGGAGGAGAACAGCAATGAGTCAAGTTGATTTAGAGATATATCTTAAATTTAGTGTATCATAATTTAATATTGCAGTTGAGTCTCCGTGGCAGGCCAGACACAAACTTGTCATTACAACATAGACTGCCAAGAAACCCACTAGGCATTAGAGCTGACCTGTCCAATCTGTTTGCGACGTTGTGATATCAAAGATAATAACTGGAACAGTCTTTTGCGTCTATACTTTAGCCAAGATACTGATGAGGGAAAGACTACTCAAAAGACTACTAACAGAACCAAAAAGACTACCAAAAAGATGTGACAAGGCCTCAAACGAGGCCAACTATTCGTTTTTCACTCGAGACAGAAAGATTTACCAATGTGCACTGACTTTGTGGTTCCCCAGTATTGCCTAATCGATGTGTTCCAGCCAGTCATACTAGACTCCAACAACACAAGGTACGAAGTGTATCACACTCTCAAAATCGTTCATCCAAGTTTTTAAATTCTTTCTCTTTCTTTCATTTCACAAACCGTCTTCTTTGCAATGCAAAATCCGGCCCACAATGGTTCGAATTAATGCATTCGCCGCGGAGCAAGTAAGCAACCCTAAAGCCCCATTCCACTCCCAATTCCAAAAAATCAACCTACCTAGTTACACAGAACTGACAACTAAAATTGGATGGACCTCTGTCCCATTCTCTTGACCGTGGCAAAGAAAATCATCTGTCTGTTGCCTTGAATTTGGGTACGAGAGTATCATTGCAGCAGGGTTCATATCCAAAGCTTCCAGCTTGGCCGGGATCTGGTTGGGTTGGATTGCTTCGCCGAATCCTGAGATAATCGAACCTTGTGCCTCCGCTCGTGATTACACTCTAATATCGGTTGTTCAAATTGATGACAATGTGGCTACTCATGTATTGTCTAGTCTGTGCGTAGAAAATCTGTTGCAGCGCAATTTTCTCCTGTCTCGGCCGAATGTCGCTGCCCTGAAAGCAATCATCGAAGAGCATAACTGGGCTATGAAGTGGGCAAAGCGAAAAGTTGGACCGACGGCGTTCATCAAATTTTCGGACAATGACGGAAGGGCAACGATCTCGAATTCTTCTAGCGACACCAGGAAATGACCGGGGTGGTGCTGGTCCCTGGGAGTTAGTACTTCGGGCTTCAGAGGGAGGGGGGAGGAAGGATGGGGACTTCCGGGGATATGCGAGATTGGTATGTCTCCAGGGCAATCAGGCGATGGTTGATAGATTGAATGCTTTGAGATAATTCAAGCGTGAGGAGAACGAGAAGTTGTCCCTAGCATACCGAGGGCCTAGAAAATAATCAATTCTAACCCAAGTTTCGCTATAATGATGTTGTCGATGCCCAAAACTTACTCCAAAGCTCTCGTGCTCTTGTGAACTTCCCCATCCCATGAATTTGCATGTCGCCTATCCGGTTATGGCTGAACTCACGTTCATTGGTATCATAGGTTTCCCAGCCAACAATAAACATGGGCCAAAGGACCGATATCATTTGCAGAAGAGAGCAGTGGATGCCTTTCATAGCTGCTATCAATTTGCTAATGCTCTCTTTCACAGATTCATGGTTTCTTGGGGGTGTTTGAATTCGGCAGTCGAGGTGCCGTATAACGGAGTTTTCGAAAGAAAGATGTATACTTCGCAGCTCAAGGGAATCCCCACTGGAAGTTGGCGTCGCACCAAGTGAGATAGCCGCGCAAATAACAGAGCCAATTTCAAAGAGCATCCACATATATTGTCGACACCCGGGTTCAACAGATCAAATTATCTATCTAGTGACCCAGGATCAGAGCTCATTACACTTTTAGTATCCAATCTCGATAATCCTGCGAGAACATCTATTGCTGCGAACAATTCCACCAAACACTGAATGGATCAGTACTGCGCGGTGTTCCTTGACTGCTCTAAATAGCACTTCAACGATGCATTACTCCGCCAAGATGAGTCCGCCGTCCCTGCATGCTCCCATGGCACATATCAGTAGTACACAGAGAAATTACCCTCCTGATAGTCTCAGCTGTCAGTGTTGCATTAGTTTTACTGAGAGCCGAGTGTCGGCTGTAAATTGACCAATATGTGAACCGAAGCAGGACACCCTTGATTTTGGTCCTGTGTATAGGTGAAGTCGGTTGTGGTAACTGCGGGCGAAATTGAGGAGGGCATACAGAGGATGGGATGTCTCTAGAGAACAGGAAGAGTGCTGACAGAGATGCACCTACCACAATTGCGGTGGCTTTTCGCTAATACTATATTTTGTGACTCTCGTCTGATGAGCGGAAAAAGGTCAATATCCGCGGCTAGATTTCAATTTGATAAAAAGACGCCGAATAGACTCGCTGTTTAGCCATAGAAGCCAAACAAAAATCGTAGCGAGAGTTAAAGAAACCGTGACAAGCCAATAAATCCAGATATCATGAGATACGCCAATAGATTCTCTATCAAAGTCGAAGAAGTTCATGCCGAATAATCCCTTCGACTATTAGCGGCTTAACTGACCCAGATAAATTCTTAACTTACAGATACAAAGGTCCCTGGGAGATATATCATGCTCACAATGGCCACCGTTTTCATCATCGTGTTGTCTGTGAGTGAGTGCTGTGCCATTTGAAGGGAAATCTCATTGTCCCTTTGGGAGACGATATTGAACGCCTGGTGAGAAGTATTAGCTACTAAAGCCTTCAAGATACGTTGAAATGTAGCTACCAGATTGATTTCATTCTGCAATCTTTCACTCAGTGAAATACATCGGAGTTTTGTGGAACGAAGGCTCTTTCCGGCGAAATAAAACTGTCTCTGTATATCTTTCGAATGCCATTCTATTCTGGCTGCCGGAGTCGGATGGTCTTCGTCGAAGATGGAACATGAGTATATGATGCTATCCAGCGTCTCCAGAGCAACATCGAGTATCTCCTTTGAGTGACTGATATGTCTCGCCAAATCATGAAGCAAAATGAACTGTGGCTTAAATTCTCCAAGATTCTTTTGATACTACAGTGAACATCTTAGCTTAGTAGAATTTCCAAAAGAAAAATCAGAAAATCAAACTTACTGCTTCAACTTCCCAAACCATACCACGGAGATCCCATATAGCTTGATCGTAAAGTTTCCGCATCTCACCAACGAATATAGCATGCCACCCATATGGATCGCTCGTGTGAATGGAGCGTAGCGAGATCTGTAGTTGGGGCATTAGGTACCTTGGAAAATCCAGAAACACGACCAGTTGTTTTGAAGTGACCCAGTCCTTCCGTACAAAGATAGCGAACTGCATCCATTCATCACATATCCCAGAGGTCTCGAGATTTTTCCAGATTCTCTTAAGTTTGAAAAAGCTCCAAGAATCTACCACACATTAGCAACAGCCCGAGATAGTGTTCATATTGACAACCCACCATAAGCCAAGATCTCCCCATCTTCACCTCGATGATACTCGCATCCGAAGGTGCCGTTTAGATTCCTCGACAGAATAAACCCGAATTCTGGGGGAAAGAAGTTGTTGACTCCTTTGCATACCCATGCGCTGAGTACCTCTGTAGACACAAATCTACGAATGTGTAAGAATTTTTCCGCACGGCATTTGTGACCTAGGGGCAATTGGATGTACATGATTTTTTGAGGAGACTTTTCCTCTGCCTAGATATAAAATGGGCGAGTTAATACCGTGCATCTCAGTTGGTTATCGGATCATACACGAATTTCAAGTTCCAACGTTGATAGTCGCTCGTGATATTCACCACCGTCTTCAAAAATGTCAGAAACCGCAAAGTTGACGCCAGTAAATGTGTAGACCTTACGACTTGAGGGCTCTAAAATCAGCACACCACCATTCTGAGATAGCCGTTTGGTTGACGTTGACCCCACATAACCAATTTCTGGAGAAACAGCTTTGCATGGCGACATGGTATACGGAGAAGACAAAGGTATGTATCTGCATCTAAGCCAACTTCACAAGACGTGCTGGTTGATAAAGCCTATATACTTCACGCCGCGGGCAGTGGAGAAACGTCAAATCAACTTCGTGCTGACGTGTTCAGCGCTAATACACATGCTAGCCTGTTTAAGAGCGGTTGGACGGCGTTCACCGGAACAAGGCGGGCTAGCATACTTTAGCGCTGGAGACATATCCCGCTAAACTCACAGACCGGACGGAATAGATAGTCGGGTCAACAAAGCATTGGCTTTCCACTGAAACAGTAGGGACGGATCGACCATCTAGACCCATTAGACACCATAAGACATCGACATGTATTGGAAAATCTGAGTCAGCTCTGCTAAGTAAGTACGTATTGGCAAAGCCAGACTAGAAGAGATCGAACAAGCACCACGATATAGGACAAGTTCGGTACCGTCAAGATTCTCGATGATTTTTTACCTTGCGTTAGACAAGCTATAAGGCTGAGCAGGTGCATCAATAGGTGCTAGTGGGATCGGACCAACCGTAAATAACTGAGGGGATGATGATGATGATGATGATG